TGGCTTTAGCCTATAAAGCCTTAACAGTTCCTGTCCAGCTTACCTATCCAAACGCATCTCCTTTCATGAGCCAGTTAGAACATTAAGATCAGCTGGAGAGATCCTGCTCTTGGTCCTGCCTCTGCCACAGGTGTAATTGGTGGGGATGAGAGACAGAGCCTTCTCGGTAGTGGCCCCTCAGCTGTGGAACTCGGCCGCTTCCCTCCTGGTTTAGAAAACAACTAAAAACTCGGCTATGCAAACAAGCGTTTGGTGGATGACAACCTCCGGATATGTGCAGTGTTAAAATATTTTATGTTTATGTTTGATAGTTTATAGTTTTAATGGTTTAATTTATAATTATATGTTATTGTTTTAGATATGTAATATACTGTTTTTATTGTATGAGGCATTGCATTTTGCCATTTATATGATGTGAACCGTTTTGAGTCCCCCCAGGGTTGAGAAAAGCAATATATAAATGCAATAAATAAATAATAATAAATCCACAGAACAAGAAGTTCTTGAAATCAATTAGCTTTGTAGATGTGGCCTTAATATTGCGAAGATAAAAGATCCTGGCTGTTATTGGGAATTAAGCAGAATCGGGCCTGGTTAGTACTTGGATGAGATACCATGAAGGAATACCAGGGGGTGTAGACTGTATTTCAGAGAAAGGAACTGGCAAAACCACCTCTAATTATTCCTTCCCTTAAAAAGCCTATGAAATTCATGGGAGCACCGTGAGTCAAAAGGTAACTTGAAGTCACAAACACACCCACGCAGCTTTGTAGATGACTGTGGAGAATTCCCTGCATAAGGACAAGAAGGGAAAGTGGTAGTTAATACTGCTCTGCCTCACATGGGTATGCTGGCTCACTTAGCAAGGCAGTAAGTGCCATGAAGGGAGCCATTTGTCCCTATTGTGTTTGTGGTCTGTGTTAGATACATCTGCTTATCAGGACACATCTTGCTAATGTTTTTACTTGAAGAACAATATAACACAACTTTTTAGGTATCAAGTTCTATAAACAATTATTCAAATGAATGTTAAATGACATTTTCCCATTAAAATTACTCACAAAAACATAACCCAATTACAGTAATATACTTTTAAAGCCTACGGTCATGTCTCTACAAACCCCACACCTCCCCCGCCAATAAAATTATTCACCTTCCTTATGCCTAGCAGCCAATAATCTTATATTATTAGTCTTTACATTGTATTGTGCTTTAAGAAATCTATGCCTATCTGAAGCAGACCTCCTGATCCAATCTTAAGGGATTTGTCTTCTGTCTTCTGGGCTTGTTGTTCAATACTACAATTAAGGATATGAACAACTGTTAACTGTGATACATCATACTCTTTTGCTAAAGAACCACATCTTCCTATACAACTCTGTTGTATAGTATTGGCTGAGATCTTCAGGTGGCACCCTTCTTTCAGCAGACTTAGGAGATTCTTTTTGTTGAATGTCTTCAAGCTCTGGAATTTTCTTCATGTGTGGCTAGTTGACTCTCCCTTTGTTCTGCTTCTGTCAGTAAATGAAAACTTACATGTTTTGAGACACTGACCATAAAAGGGCCTATCTTGAGGTGCATCTACACCCTAGAATTAATGCAGTTGGACACAATGATAACTGCCATTCCTAAATGCTATGGAATCATGGTAGTTCTAGTTTGATGAAGCACAAGCACTCTTTGGGAGTGAAGGCTAAAGACCTTGCAAAACTAGTTTCCAGGACTCCATAGCATTGAGCACTGCAATGAAAGTGGTGCCAAAGTGTATTAATTCGACAGTGTAGGTACATCGATGGTGTAGCATGATTTTTATTTGTCTTTTCTGTTTATGTTTTTAATTATTTTTCAGTCTATAGTTCAATTAGACTTTACGATTTTAATATACTATTATAATTTAACATGACTTGCACCCCGTCCGCAAACAGAGTTAATTAAAAGTAAGTTTCATTACCTTCTATCAATCTAGTTTCAAAATCAAATACCGACAACCCCAAGCATTCATAAAATATCTGAACGCTTAAACACGGACAGTTAAGGGTGAAAATGCTTCACAATTTTCTCTTGCCCTTTCAAAGTCAGGTTTTTATTTTTGCAAACCCCATTAAGTAACCATTTTATTTCTCCTTACACTGCACTAACCATGTATAGACAAGAAACATGTGCTTTGTTTCTAGATCTGCTTCTCCTTTTCTAGGTCTTCCATCATCTAAAAATCAATAGCCATCTCCAATACTCATCCGTTGACTTTTCTGTGTATATGGCTGTAATTTGCGACAGCAAATGATACTATTAGTTTCCTCCTGGACCCTAATCAACTGGACTTTCCTGCCAATTATTTTTAAAAGCCTCTTATCTCTTCTTTAACCACAGAATGAAGAACAGTGATGTCACATTGTGTAGCCTGTGTATAAAAAACTCGTTCTTCCCACCACCATAAGTACCATATGGGGGTGTCACATGAAATGTAAAGTAGGGGAATCTAGAGTTCCTTTAACTCTGAATAATCCTATTCAGCCAAAAGGATACTAATCTTGACTAATTACTAGTGTTTGGGTTAGGCAATATGGAATAAGGATTGTTGTTAGAAAAAATAACAGATTTCAATTCAAATTGCTTGGAAGTCAGTGGACACCATAGGAAAATAGTATGGTGCCAACTCACGGGTCTTCCAGATATAATTTATTTAATCACTGCATAGTAAGACTTTACAAAAAGTAACTAGTCACTTCAGGTTTTAACAATCTTTATGTGCAGTGAAGATTCTCTCCCGAGACACCAAATACCTGCAAAACATCTGGGAAAACTAGAACAGAATGTATTTATCATTGATAGATAAGATTTCTGTGCTTATTCCAATGAAAGGTAAGGACAGGGGAAGGAGTCATTACCTTCAAAGCATTTTCACTTATTGCATCTAACAATACGGACCTCTATTAGGAGGTGGCCCAACAGAAAGAATGGCTGTGAGTTAATTTTGGGGGATATGGGTACAAAAAACATTGAAGGATGGACATGTTTCATCCCTTTGACAGAAAACTTCCATCCAGATGTTTTCCTCTTTCTTCTATGAAGCCCCCATGGGAACAGATAAGTGAAGTGCGGTTCTCAAAGTGGGAGTTTACTAAAACAAAACTGGATGTAGTCCAAAAGCTTACTGTCCAAAAGCATGTGTAAGAACATACCTAAAATATTCAAATAGAAATTTCTAGTCAGTAGGTTTTCTAGTCAGTAGGTTTTCTAGAGCTGGATGTCATGTATATGTTGAGGACACCCAGCTCTACTTCTGCTTGCTGTTCGGAGACCGACTAGGATGTGCTAGGTTAGAATGGTGTATGGACACTGTAATGGATCAAAAACCAATATTTGCAGTTTCCATGTCCAAGAGTGGTGTGATTATTTTAGATGGAGTTGCAATTCTCCCAAAGGAGCAGGTGTATAGTATAGCTTGGGTGCAAAATTTACCTGTCACTTGTGGCCCAAAAAAGGCTTGGTGGTTCCAAGCATCTGGGCAGCTTCACCTGCCACTCTATAGTCCCAGCTATGACCATTCCTGAGGAGGAACAATCTGGCCACATTACTTTATGCTCTGGCAGCTTCTCATTTAAGTTACTGCAATGCGATCAATGTAAGGCTACCATTGAAGGCTGCACAGTTGTTATAAGAACTATGGTACTGGTTTTAAGGGATTATATGAACTACCATAAAATATTTTTGGTCAAGGAAGGTTCAGACAAATAAACAGATGCACAAAAGCAGGGTGCCATGATTAGACACAGTCTTCAGCTACATACAGTGGTCCTTCATCTGGTAATGAAATGAAAATTCATTCATTTACTCTCAAACATTATTCTAAGTAATGAATGGGCATTAGTTCACACTTAATATTTGTGCAAAGTGGACTTTCCTATTAAAACTATCAAGTTACTTCTGTACAAGTCCGAACTCTAGAAATAGGTAACAGTTCTAGTGAAAATTCTATTAAAACAACAGTGAGAGATAAAGACAGGGGAAAAGGAAAAAAAGAACATGGTACTAAATTCATACTATGCCTGAACTTCACAATGATGCTGAATACTATGGGAAAAAAATCTTCTCAGTTTAGCCAGAAATGAGCATATTCTCTTTTGTTTTGCTTTAGGCTATCAAGAACAGCAGAGCTAAACACAGCCTGAAGGAAAAGGTGAGAGAGTTGCTCAAAGCAGTATGAACAATACTGCAGAATAACTAAGCTGGAGGATGGGGGAAATCAGCTCTCCAAGACAGATATAGATCTTTAATTTAAAACAGAGTAAGCTTATTCATGGGAAAAGTGCGACAAAACACTCCTGGGACAGAGTGCTGCACTCTGGCAATTAAAATTGCATTAAAAAAGCAGATAGGGAAGCCAGGATCCTAAAACAGATGGGCACAGAAGACTGTGTTGTCCTTATTTGTTTCAATATATTTACCTTTTGGGCAATAGAGATAGTCGCTGATTAATTTTCTTTCTGGGTGCTTCATCTACAACTTCATTGTTCCTGTTTTTAAAGTCATTCTCTCCTGTCTGCTCCTAAAGGAGGCAGGCTGCAAAGATTGCATTATGTAGGCAGCCAAACAGCCTGATGCTGATGGAACAGGGCAGTTTTAGTATTCAGAGAGAAGGGGAAGAAAAGGACACATTGAATAGAAAAATCACTAGACAATTCCTAATTATTTTGCTCCAAGAAGGGAGAGGCTGATTTAAATAAATGAGCCTATCCCACAAAATGAACCTTCAGCATCAGCCAGAAGGCGATAAACATATTGTAAGGCACATAGCATGAATTTAGATGACACAGTAGGACTTCAGGAGAACAGTTTTCAGGTAAATCACTGGCTTCTCAGAGGAATGTACTTGAAGGTGCTGCAAATGAAATGTTTTTAGAGGTTCATTCAATTTTAAAATTTTGCTTATTATTTAACATTTCCTCTGTGGTTACCAGCTGGTCTCCTATCATTATCATCAAGCAATATCAACTTACTGTTTTCCAACCACATTTTTATTACAAAATTTGCATTTTAACATCTGTACTTTTTGCTAGTGCCTCTTTTTTGATACCTTAAAGATGAAGGCCAGGGGAGGTATTCTGTATTAGTATTAAATAAAATAGCAGAGTAACCCAGGTTTGCTGTATGACCTTGTAAAGACCAAAAACAACAAAGAACATCATTGCCTGAGCCAGTACTTCAGTCAACTTTCATATTGCTTGTTAGAGTTAGCGTTAGAGTTAGTGATCAATTTGGTTTATCACCTATCCCTTCTGTTACTTGCTGGTTCTCTATACAGCTCATGAAATTGTCAGAGTTGAAAGAATAATGCTGAGGGAAGGAAGACATGATGTGTAGATCTCAGCTTTCAGTGTCACACTTGTGCCTTTTGATTTCACTATGTTCTTCATGATAAGATCCTACAGAAAAAGTATGTAGTTCTCCTTCTGTCCTATTTTCAGCTGGAAATGTATGACCAACAGCAAGCACTTGCCTAATAGTCATATTAATACGGGATGTTTCCAGATATTTGGCACACACTTCCCAGTCCTCTGCAGAGCAGGGCTGGAGAACAGAATCTGCAGGAAGGTCAGAAGGCAGAGGCTGCTCCATGCAGGAAGGCAATGGTTTCCCCTCCAAGTTGGGCAGAACCCTGGGAACAGCATGGTACAGCAGACGGCTGAAGCCAGACATGATCATCACATCCCCACTATGCATGAACATGGCCGCAGGGGCTTGATCTCGTTTCTGGCCTCCCAACAGAAATATAGATGACTGTCCAAAACTAAAAAGAGAAAGAGGATTGAGAGACAGTAGTTAGTGAAGGAACAAATAGGGAAGCGATGTACAAAGGTGGACAAAATTTGCCATCTCTACTCTTCTTAACAACCTAGATGGAAGCTATTTGCAACTCATTACATGTGAAACCACCAGCCTTGTAGTACACTGATTCTTGCATAATCATTTATGCAACTATTCTGTACAGAAAAATACTTTCCCATATTTTTCATCTCCTAAGACAGGGGTTTCCAAATAAGATATGTCCAGTGTGCATAGGAATTCGTTCATGTTTTTTTTTTCCAAACTATATTTGGGTCTCTCTACAGTCTGAAGAACCATGAACTGGCTCTATGCTTTAAAAGTTTGAGGACCTCTGTCCATGAGTTCTATGGTATAGGAAAGTTGTGACAGATTTGTATGGAAGAGATAATAGTAATATTGTCTGTCTTCAGAGGTAGCTGTGTTGGCCATACAGAAAAATACAACAGAAACCAAAATATACATTGCAGAGACATTTTTGTTAGGAGAATCAAAAGATACAAAATACTTTACCTAATTTAGAAATAGGCAAAATTGTTAAAAATCATACAGGAGAAGAAAAACAGACTCATGGGCCTGCATTTTATTTTGAGATTTTTGCTTCAGTTGGTGATTACAAGTGGTCCTGAGAGAATGTTGTTTGAGGTAGTGGCCCCACTATGTGAAGACTGCAGAGAAAGCCAATAAAAGCTAAATAATAAAATTATTTTACTTTTGTTGTATAATTTTAACAACTCTGCTTGATGAAAATGCTGAGAAACTTTGAAACAAGCTGTTGTGACAAATACGCATATGTACATACACCTATACATGCCAGACAACTCCCTAGAGAAATGGTACACTATACATTGAAAAAAATGTATCTCTATTTTGGATATTACTTATTTCATTAGTACAGCTCTCCTTTTGTTCTGGACTATTTGTGCCTTAATACTTATCTGAAGCATTCTGAACAATTTCAGGCCTGCAACTTTAAATTTTCAACAAGAATTCTTCCATGATTTTGACAATATGCCTTAAATGGAAACATGCAGATCTTCCTCACCTTGGAGGAAAAACCTTTAAATAGCTTACCTGAATGATAAGAGGGGCTGAGATTGGTCCAGCTCAGATTCATCGACATGAATTCCTAGAGATGAGTCAAAATGATAGTAGTTCAGGATCCCAGCTTCTGCCTGGAAGCCTGGAAAACCACAAGCTTTAGCCACTTGTTCTGAGATAAAAGCCAGGTCAGATGGAAAGGGAGTGTAATGATCAGCTGAATATTTCTGGCACAAATAAGAAAAAATGAAGAGAGTCAGAAAGAGAATTCTAAAAATATCCAGTGGTTAGCTAAATTGAACTGTAGACTGATATCTAACTGAAAGCTCTAAAGCCCATTATCTCATCTCCAAAATTAGAAAACAAAGCGAGGAAAAAAATATAGTCTGCTTCTCCTGTGACATAGATAGAGCTAATAATTTTTGTGAAATATGAATTTGAAATCAATTTCTTTTCTTTCCTGCTGCAAATAAGGTAGGCTATGTTTTATTTATTCAAACAACCGTTATGTTACATAACCTGATAACTTTTTTATTTATTGTAGATCGATCCTACCTTTTCACTAAAAACTAAAATCCAGGGCAACTAACAAATATTAAAACAAATTAAACTTTTAAAATCACCACAACAATCAAAATATTTTAAGATATTCAAATTCAATTTCAAAACAGTTTGAAAGACCACTTCATAAAGAACTGTTATCAAGGAATAAGAGCTACTTTGAGTCCCCTTTGAGCAGATAAAGCGGGGTATAAATAAATATATATAACAATAACAATAACAACAACAACAACGTGATTCCTACTATTGTGGGGGGAGGGAAGCATTTCATAATCTGGGAGCAACAAAGAAGACAGCTCTCTTTCATCTACCCATAAAGGCTCCATATATGTTATTCTTAGGAGGGCTTCTTCTAAAAATCTAAAGGAGACAACCAGTCCCCTAGATAGTCAACTCAACACAGACCAGTGCAGGCTTTTTAGGGTTTTAAAGGCTAAAGCCTTCACTTGCCCCCTTCCCTCCCTAAAAGCAACCAGCAACAGAAACATTCAGCAGTCTACATAGGGAAAAAAATTGTTTTCCTAGGTCTCACACAGTCATAGGAGGGCTGGCTGCTCATTATGTTACCTGTGTTTGAAATCTTTCCCATAAATGCCTAAATACACACTTTCCTGAAACAGAATCCTCAATCTCCTTCACTAGATGTTTTTGATGAGAATACTGGGAATAGGTGAATTTCTACTGAGGCAATAAGACAATAAGTAGATAAGGCTGCAGGCTCATTTGGTTAAGCATGTCTGCAGTATGCTGATAGATGACGTTTCTTCACTCTCCTTCAGCTCTGCAGTCTCCTCTGAGTAATTTGGCCTTCATTTTAAAAAGAAATCTATGGTGTCTACATCAGTAAGTCTGTATTGTGGCTTTATGCTTAAATTTCCAACCCATAACAAAAAATTGATAGACGTTTGCTATAATATTATCATATTGATACATATTGCCAAGAAAATCTGCTGCCTACAAATACCTTTGTATTCCAGTTATAATGATAACCCAAAGTCACCCAACGGAGCTTCTCGAGTAAACTTTTTGGTTGCCGTTTGCTGGAACTTTTGTTTCTAAATTCAAAATAAAATGACAACAGAAACACTTTTATCTACAAATTACTTTCTCAAAGTGTTTACTCTAGAACAGTGTTTCTCAAACTTTACTTCTCCAGGTGTTTTGAAGACTTCAGCTCCAAGAAATCCCAGCCAGCTTACCAGATGTTAAGAATTGTCGTTTTTATTACATGTTAATGTTTTTAATTGTATTTATGGTATTGGGCATTGAATTTTGCCCTGTACACCGCCTTGAGTCGCCTGTGGGCTGAGAAAAGTAGTATACAAATACAGTAAATAATAAATAAATAAATAAAAACATCTGGAGGAAGGCAGTTTGAGACAACCTGCTCTAGAACATCAAATTCCTGATACAAGTCTCAAACAAAATTCTTTCAGTGGGTTTTTGGGGCTATATGGCCATGTTCTAGAAGCATTCTCTCCTGATGTTTCACCTGCATCTATGGCAAGCATCCTCAGAGATTGTGAGGTCTTGCCATAGATGCAGGCAAAATGTCAGGAGAGAATGCTTCCAGAACATGGCCATATAGCCTGAAAACCTACAAAAACCCAGTGATTCCAGCCATGAAAGCCTTTGACAAAATTCTTTCAAATGCTAATTTCCAAAAGTTATTTGCACAAATGTTTAAGAGAAGCATTAATACTTCAGGCAGCTTGCAGAAAATATTTAGGAAAAACAGTTGGAATTATATAATAGGAAAGAAAAGAAGAGCATGATCAATATTCCTAGCATGGGAAAGAAGTATATATGAGTTAAAGGTTTTCAGCATTAATCACCGTATAAAAACCACATTTAAGACAACAGCTTGTGTAAGTTGAAGACAGGTTTTGGGGTCAAAATTATGGATTTTGATACGACCTGTGGATAAGTTGAGGGTCATTCTGCAAAGAGGGAAAGGTACCAATGCCACCTCAGGAGACTAACTGTTCCTGGTCCCCACTCAAACATTCAAAAAGGCCAAAAGAGGCAGAAAGAGTATATATTCAAGAGAAGAGGATGATGTCTTTTAAAATAAGAATTACACTACAGTTCTCACACTGACCCATGGATATGTCCATCCAGGTTTTGGGGATGATGTGGTATTAAAATATATAGACTTTGTGTTGTTAAGAAAATGTCCCAAGAAAAATATAACAGCTCTTCCAGGAAGAATTTCAGTCCTAGCTTAGAAAAACTGAATTTTTTAGTGCATAGTTTTCATAAAATTTTATGTGAAAATAAAAAAATGAGTACAATGTACTACAACACTCTCTGTTGCTTTCTCTGCAAAGGACTAATATGGCTACTCTTCTGAAATACACTCTCAGTAGAATATGAAACCCATTCCACTATGCTTTTTAACAGAATGATAGTGTGTCTATTGGAATTATGGCAGGTAGCACATCACAATATATTACTTATAAAAATATAGTTGATATAAACTTATATCCCATTGCACTGATACCTATAAATCTTTGATTTCAATGAGAGAAATAATAATCCATACAGTGGGGTCAAAGGCCCTGTTCAGAGCATTGTGAAAAATCCATTAATATCAACAAATCTATCTATCTATCTACCTACCTACCTACCTACCTACCTATCTCTCTCTCTCTCTCTCTCTCAGATATAATTTCAGAATATATTTTGTTTGTTTTTATTCACAACACTTACAAAGTACCTAAAATGTTCTAAATACAAATAGAAATTGAAGTGTTTATGCCTGTGGGCTTACAACCTAAAAGGAAAAAAAGGATTGGGAGGACAAAGACAAACTAAGACACATGATCTCAGCCATGTTGTATCATCTGGGCAGGTGGATCTTGCTATTTATGTTGTTGTTAACTGCTGTCAAACTAATTTCCACTTTTGGGAATTCTATAAATGAGAGACCTCCAAGTCACCTTACTATCAGCAGCTCAGTACAGTTCTTCCAGATTTAGGATGTGGCTTTCTAGATGTGAGTTAATCTTTCTGTGCCTTGCTTTGGACATGACTTACTAGGGGGAAAAAACTTACAAGAAAAATGTTTAGTAAATAGAGTGCAGTAAAAGAAAGATAGTCACTCTAGTTGTTGTGGCTTCTAGGAAGAATTCAATCTGATTTGCTCGAGGATCAATTTATCTATCTTTTTGGCCATCCATGGTATCCATAGAACTATATTCCAGCACATTTCAATTTGGTCTAGTCTCTTACTATCAGCTTTCTTCACTGTCCAGTTTCCACAACCATACATAAAAATTAGAAATCCAATAGTAGAGACAATCCGAATAGTATTCATTTATGTATCTTTACACTTCAGGATCCCGTAGACTTCTTTCATAGCTTCAGTTCCTAGTTCTAGTTATCTTTTGATTTCTTGACTGCAGTCTCCATTCTGATTAATGACTGAGCCAAGGTATAAAACATCTTGAACTATTTCAAATTCTTCACTGTCTCCTTTAAAGGTATGTAACTCATATGTGGTCATTATTTTTATTTTTGTAATGTTTATCTGTCTATTTAGGTATATATAAACATAAATGATATTTCACTCATGTTTTATCTTTTAAAAACCGATAAGCATGTTGATGCTAGTTAAAAGATCAATTAAACATATTAAGATGAAAAATACATACAGCGGCCTTGAAAACTCAAGAATACTGTGGAGATGATCTGCAACCTGTTTCTAAACTAAAACAGAAGTCTAGGCTTGACCATGGTGCTGTATGGTGCAATTGCAGGAAAAACTCTTTTTAACACAGGGATTGTCACTGAGTTTGGCTTGAAGTTAAAGTTTCAATAGGGAGCTGCTGAATACCACACTTTATTGATTGAAAGTTGTGTTTCTTCACTGTTATCACATTTGTTATTCCAAACCAGGACTTACTGCAGCTGATGCCGACTCTTTTCCCACAAATCAGTAGTTTCCTGAGAAGACATGTGCATATCCAAATTGCATACATTGGGTTTCTGAGTGTACTGCTTCAAACACTGCCTTACCCAGTGACGCTGGCAGCCCGGAAGGAATGGATCTGGGATAAATATAAAACCTGGCGAATTGAGGGAAAACCCCCAGTTAAAACCAATTTTTAACTGTTTAATGTGAAGGAAATACTAAGATGCAGCAAGAACACAAGGTTTACAAGCATATTACACGTGCACAAATAATTACCACCACTAAAGCTGAATTACATACATTAGACCCTTGGTATCCATTAGGGATTGATTCCAGGACCCCGTATCAATACCAAATTCCATTGGGGCTTGTGTGCCATAATTTACAATGTTGTCCCTCATAGAAAATGCAAAATCAAGGTTTGCCTTTTGGACTTTGTTTTTAATATTTTAAAGCCGTAGATGGTTCAATAAATGGAGGGCTGATTGTATATCTTGGGAGAAAGCGATACTCTATCGAAGTATGTATTTAGTTTTTCTTAAATGATATCTAGAGATACTCACCTGGATAACTATCCAAACCATAGGCTTTCCATTGACTGACTGGGCGCAGTCCTGCTCTGCAAGCATCCTGTTCACTAACTGAGGAAATATTCAGATGACTGCTTACCACCTAGTGGAGGAAAAATTAATGCCAGACATTGAAACAAGAACCCACATATTTTAGCTTGAGCTGACAGCTAAACAATGCCAATTACTAACATTTGTCTGCAATGTCTCATGGAATGTCACGGTGGTACAAGTGCCCTTCTATCACTGCACAAACTAGTTCCCACCTTTCTATCTAACTCCGAGATTGAGGATGCAGACAACATGAGGTCAAGATCTCTCATTCTCTTTCCAACAGAAGAGAAAAGTAGATTCATATCAGACTTTGGACTCTTATCTGAACAGGCTCAAATATCATTTTATGTTTTCTGAATCTTTCTGAATGCAGCAGTGGTGCAGCAGGGCAAAAGTATACATCACTTACATTTACTCTTAAAACTGTGTATCCTAAGGGTCTAAATGATTCCATTTCCTTTCAATGTTTCATGTAAGCTGGTACATGCCTCTTTAAACAGGTTTTCCTCATGAGTAACTTACAATTGATGATTGAGATATAGTCACACTGGTAACCATACCGGGCCCCTTTAAATTTCACACCATACATTTTAAATTTCCCTCTATAAACTGGGTTATCCACCTGCCTCTCCTGGGCTTGCTATGGATTCAAACTAATAGCAGCGCACCTTTGAAGAACAACTTACTGAGTATTGGTTCCTGTGTTGCATGCTTTCATTACAATTGGCAATTTCTTTCCTATACTATGTTTTGTAGCCACTCAAACTTGGATTTGTTGCTGACATACTTCGGCTAAAAAAAGACTCACAAACATTCTTCTGTAGGAATCAGCTGTTTACCCCACATTTGGAAGTTTTTGAATAAGAGACTTGCAAAAAAGAACTTATAAACTTTGATTTTGTCATTGATAAACTGTTGGTTTTCTAAATGACTTACAAACTTGAACATTTTTATGTAGGAATCAATTGTTTATCCCACACAAGGAAATTTGGGTTTAGAGATTTGCATTGTGAATTTCTGTTATGTATATTTTGTACAAGTTGATAGTACATTGAATATTGTAGTACTATAGCATTGATATGATATACATTCTTATGATTATATAACTGCATTACTTTTTGGTGTATAGTTTTGCCTTTAAGAAATCAAAGCAACATTCATATTTTTGTTCGATTTACTTTCTGACGCACCCCTATCACTCATATACCTGGCACTGTCTGAGGTCAAGCAACTGGTAAAACATCTGTGTAAGAGACACACAGTGTATAAAGAATTCCAGTTTTTCATATGCAATATAACATTTGTTTTCATCACAAAGGAGCTGTCATATATCAGACAATAAAACAGTAATTGCTTTTTCCAACTTCTGAGGAGTTTGGAGCATATTTTATTTCTTGATTTAGTAGGTTGTGAGACATTTGAAATCTGAAATCATAGCCTTCTGACAAATAGCTCATTTTTCTCCCTGCACAATGATCCTGACATTATGTACAGCAATAGTTATTAACACAGGAACTGCTAGAGCTAGAAAGCCACAACATTTTATTGCCTGTGACAGACTAAAATTCCAATTTCAAACAAGATAATGAATTAATTTCTAATTCCAGTGAATATGGGATTTTAATTGAAATTGCAAATGATGTCTGAGAAATAAGTGGGTAATCATAATTATGTAATCTTAAGGTCTGAGGCACTTCTTTCTGTGACAGAACTCTGTTTAGGAGAGCTGTAATTATACAGCACTCATTACAGTATTAACAGAGGACCAGTAAACCTGTCTAGGCACTAGGGGTGCTGAGAAATTGTTAATACCTACTAGTCACTTTTAATACGTTATTCTTAATGAAATAAAAATGATCTTTTGTTACTCAAGACAGTTAATCCTCTGTTACCCTGAAAATGTCACCTGTATTGTTAATTTTCTCTTCAACAGGCCGAAGATAATGGAATCAGGTAGGTAAAAAGCAGAAGGCAAGACAACATCTTCCTTTCTGTTTCATGACTGATAAGAAGGCAAATACTATTTTTCCCAAATGTAGGAAATAGTGAAAAGAAACACAGAATATTCTTAACTAGAACAATGCATGAAAACATTATCGTATGGAAAGAATTTTCTATATGTTCTGCTCCTAGACAAGATTTTAATAATTTGTAATAACTGATCAAAAGGTCAAGTATGTGTGAAATTAAAAATAACAATATACCTGCCACAGATAAAGATGATGGGAATTAAAAATCCTGCTGATGTATTAAACTGGTTTTATAGGGCAATAAAAACAAAAAGGAGAAAATCAATGTATTTAGGAGTTCATGTCAGCTACAAAATAATATTACTTCTCAAACAGGATTATGGTCCATATATGTTTATATTATGCATGATGCAGATGACTAACAACAAATAACATACAATAAACCCAGAAACAGTGTTTGGGCTTCTGACAACTGTTACCCCCCTCACCAAAATAGGGTTTTACTTGTCTGCTAAAATTCAAGATTTTATTTCTATACATTTAAATAATTCATTTTGTTCTCCTCATGTCATGAAGATATTCTATTCATCATCCTGGTTAGCTTTACTAGTGTGCTTAATTAAGATGCAAAACCGTTAGAACCAACCTATCTAAAAGAATTAGTGTATTACTATTATCATCACAATCAGAAATCTAGTAAGCAAATGGTAAATTTGAGTTGCAGTATACAAAATTTTGTTATTTACAGCAAAATCTGCCATTTCACTGCTGTTTCTAAATGTTCTGAAGATCTCCAAAAGTCCTACAGCCTCCAGATGGATAACAAACATAGAAGTCATGGGGTTTGTGTTGGCAATTTCTGAGATCCACATGAAGCTTGCTTCATCCCAATTTTTTTCCTGGGAGCTTTCAGCATTATCAAGGACTTTTCCTTGATAGGTCAGCTTGAATTAACCCAGTACTTTCAGAAATAAAATGTATTTGAACTTGCCTTATGTGTTTTTACATTCTTGGAAGTAGCCAAGATATGTACAGCTATTATTTCAGTAGAAAGAAAAATGCCAGTGCTAAAAGAAAATTACCCTAATGCTTAACAATAATGCAAAAGTACTTTAGCACTTTGACTGTAGCTCCTGAATAATAATAAAAAGATTCAGTGGAATTTGGGATCTTCTTATCTGGCGATTTTAGAGCAGGGGATAGATGGGCATCTGTTGGAAGTGCTTTGATTGTATGTTCCTGCCTGGCAGAATGGGGTTGAAAAGGATAACCCCGTTGTGTTTGACAACTTTATGATTCTATGAAACTGCATGTGATATGTGATCAATATAAGGGGAAATGAAAGAGAGAAACTAGGCATATATCAAGAAGGGGATTGGGTGCAATTCATGAATAAGTAGACACAATAAAAAGAATTGCAACCTTCCCATACTTCCACATGGTACATCCCCCTTTAGGGTTGACCATAGTGAGGTATTTTGCCTCTTCCAGTCCTACAAAGAGAGATCCAGTGTAATGTTATGGCTTGCATGTTGGACTAGGATCCTAGAGACCAAGGTTTGAATTACCACTCTGTCATGGAAATCCACTGGGAGATCTTGGGCATGTCACACCCTCTCAGCTTCTGAGGAAGGCAATGGCAAACCCGCTCTGAACAAATCATGCCATGAAAACCTCATGGGTGGGTCACCTTAGGGTCTTCATAAGTTAGAAATGATTTGAGAGTACACAACAAGAAGTCCTCTGCATTGTCAAAGACTCATAATGGACTCAATGCCATTTTTGCAAAAAGGAAAGCAAGACTACGATTTGCTATGATATGATGCTGTACATAGTTTTGAATAGCATTTAGAAATAATTTTGAAAAAGTACATATGTAAACACCTTGTGTTAAAAATTTCATAAATATTTTAAAAATCCATTTCACTTTTTGCATTTTTTCCAGGAAAAGAACAGAAATAACTAAAGGTTCCACCACAAATGTTTCCCATTATCACCCATAGATCTTCACACGAGCTCCTGTTCAAATTAGCCAAGGAGTGAAAAAACATCACAGTAAAATATATTCATATGTTTGCAGTTTAGCAAGTCACACTCTCTCAGCCTCAGAGAAAGCCGGCAACCTTTTCTGAACAAGTCTTTCCAAGAAAACCCATTAATAGTTTCGCCTTTTGGTTGTCATTTTTGGAAAAGTCTTGGAAGGCCCACACCACTGAGAAATTTAGTGGGAGGATGCTTGTGAACAATGTAACTTTGTGACTATCAGAGATAAGTGAGAAACAAAACAAGAAATGCAATTAAAAGTGCAGTGTTTGTTCTGCTCCTCAGTTGCACAAGGTGGAGGTTTCTTCTTTGTAGTGCCATTTTGCCAGGTTGTCTTTTCTGCTGCCAATTCCACTTCTGAGTCTGTTCAGGGACTTCCAAGTTTATTTATTTATTTACTGTATTTGTATACCACCTTTCTCAGCCTATCGGCGACTCAAGGCGGTTTCCAACAAAACAGTATACATAGTATCACAATACAATTTAAAAACATTACAATTACGTAAACCACAACAGCAATAAAAAACAACATCATTGGCGTCTCCTTATTGTCAAGCATTGTCCGATTCCTCTTGGTTTGCCCCTGTAAGAAGAACCTTGTGGGGGACCATGCTCACAGGGATATTCTTGCTGTTGCTGGAGGAACATTAAGAGGAGTGGTGGTTCTCATGAAACTTTTTCTTGATTTGAGTCTACTAGGAGGAGGCTGATAGCCATACAGTAGGTGAAATTCTTTTGAAAACCAACTAACTAATGCCTGATCCCTCCAGCTACTACAATGATAACCACCTGAAGCCTAACCCTGCCAAGTCACAAGTGTGTACTTTCCACCTATGAAAAAGGACCTCCTGGTGGCGTAATGGGTTAAACCGTTATATCAGCAAGACTGAAGACCGACAGGTCAGAGGTTCGAATCTGGAGAGAATGTGGATGAGCTCTCTCTGTCAGCGTCAGCTCCCCATGCGGGGACATGAGAGAAGCCTCCCACAAGGATGGTAAAACATCAAACATCCAGGTGTCCCCTGGGCAACGTCCTTGCAGACAGCCAATTCTCTCACACTAGAAGCAACTTGCAGTTTCTCAAGTCACTCCTGACATGAAAACAAACAAACAAACAAACAAACAAACAAAACTCTATGGAACTGTGATGCCAACAGGAAATTGAAGGTTACCTGGAAGGCCAAGAGCTTGAACACCGTTTCCACCCTAAATATTTCGGCGTCACCTTAGGTCAGTCATAGGCAAACTTCGGTATTCCTGGTGTTTTGGAGTTCAACTCCCACCATTCCTAACAGCCTGGCTAACATTTAGGAAACAACTCCCATGAACCAGTGGCAATTAAGCTGGTGTCAATTTGCATTCATTCTACAGCAGGGGTCCTCAAACTAAGGCCCGGGGTCCGGATGCGGCCCTCCAAGGTCATTTACCCGGCCCTCGCTCAGGATCAACCTAAGTCTGAAATGACTTGAAAGCACACCACAACAACAACAGCAATCATATCTCATCAGCCAAAACCAGGCCCACACTTCCCATTGAAATACTAATAAGTTTATATTTGTTAAAATTGTTCTTCATTTTAATTACTGTGTTGTTTTAAAGTGTTTTTTTGCAATACAAATAAGATGTGCAGTGTGCACCGGAATTCATTCATGTTTTTTTTCAAATTATAATCCGGCCCTCCAACAGTTCGAGGGACTGTGACCTGGCCCTCTGTTTAAAAAGTTTGAGGACTAGATTCACCGCTAGAGAGGAGAAAAGTGACCTCCAAACTCAAATACGACAAGCCTTTTGGACTACAATTCCCAGAGGCCTCAGCTGCTTTGGCCAATGACCAGGAATTCTGGGACCTGAAGTCCAAAAGTCCTGGAAAACCAGAGTTTGGAAACACCGATGAGGGCATTCTTGGTTAAGGTCATTTCTCCCGTTACCATGGAGACAGACTGAAACGAGGCCTAGAGCAAGTCCTTCAGAGCAGGCGCCCTGGAAGTATGCGTAACCATGGAAACGAGGCCTAGCGTCAGTAAGTCCTTCAAGCCAGGTGCCCTGGAGAAAAGAGGGAAGGCCAGGTTTACCTGCTGCGAGGCCGGCCTCGAGAAGTCAATCACCCCCGCCGCGTCGGGGCCCTCCCACCGCCGGTAGAAGCGAAAGAGCCGGCGAAAGGCGTCCTCCTCACCACATGCGGCGCTGGCAACCCTCGCCGCCATCTTGACACTCAGCCCTAGGGACTTCCGCGCAGTTAGCGGAAGAGGCGGAGCTTGCTTCCCATTGGTTGAGCGCTCCATAGGGCGGGTCTTTTCCTCGGCCGGTTTCAAGATGGCGGCGGGAGGGTCATCTCGGCGCGTCTTCGAGATCTTTGTCGCTAGGGTGCCCTGGACCGCGGCGGCAAGTGAGTTTCGAAGCGGGAAAGGGTGATTCTACCCTTCTGTGTTGTCGTGGTGCGCTTCATCAAAAGCCTTGGGGAAGGTTTCACATAGGAAGGAGGTATCTCTATTGAACCTCCCTTCTTTTCTGTGTTCAGACAGTTGCATCTCTCCCTCGGAGACCAGGAGCCTAAACCATGACACCCCTGGGATGACGTTAAGGCAGGAATGGGCAGGCTTGGGCCCTCCAGGTGTTTTGGACTTCAACTCCCACCATTCCTAACGGCCTCGGGCCCTTTCCTTTTCCCCCTCAGCCGCTTAAGCTTGTGCAGGGAAGTTCAAGGTGTAGTGGCCTAATCACATAGTATCCTTGAGTAGCTGAAGCATTAGAATGATCACCATTGAGATCTAAGCTATAATTTCTTTTCATTTTTAAGGCTAGTGTTCTGTACAGTGCCAGAGAGCCTGGCTAACTATTTCCTAAAAGCTTCCCACATACTTACTTACTTAGGCGATCCCTCGTTGGACGAGTAAGATGGTCTTCCATTATGGAT